AAAAAAAAGTTTTGAGAGAGAAATTTATTTTTGAGAGAAAAGGTTTCACTCTGACTGCAAAAAAAGAACAATATTTGAGAGTAATATATTTTGAAAAGAGATTTTTTTTTTACCTCAGAAATCATTTTCCAAATGTCAGCTTATCTTTTATTTCTTCTATGTAATTTCTCCCAAAACTTTTTTTCTGCCAAACAAAACATCAGTTTTTACTATCAGTATCATATCAATATATTTAACTTTCAAAATCATTTTCCCATTTTAGATTGTGTTTTTCTTGAATTTAATAAAAGTAACTCCATACTTTATATTTAGACTTAGACACAACTGTATTGTGATTACTCCTTCAGTTTCCAGTAGCTTAAAAGAGTACAGAGTTAAAGCAAGATGCCATTATAGATAAAATACGACATAAAAAGGGTGAATATAGTACATAAAAGTATAAAAAAAGAATAAAGTTTTATTATCCTGGTGTATATTTCCGTTAGATATAAAAATACCTGCACTGTAGAGAGCTAATAGAAGACTACATAGTAGTCATATGAGTTTCTGCTTGAATTATGCCAGTACCTACAGACCAGTCAACAGCACATGCTAACGCAGAGATTACACAAAAAAAGGCCTTCACCTTTTTTGATCAGGCGCTGCTCATGTCTGTGTTTGTCTCTTTTGATAAGCCCCTTTCATCTTGTTTGCATTGATTAGAGGCTGACGAGTCACTGTGATACTTAAGGGCTCTATTCATGTCTGCTGCCCCCGCGACACACACTGGGTCCATTGTGGCGAGGAATGTCTCTTTTCAAGGCCTGAACTCGCCTGTGAAAGCATGTCAATAATCCTGTGTCAGTGGGCGCTTTAGAATGCTGCAGCGACCATCCCACTGAACACTCTGTGGTGGAAAACAGCCCCCAGTGCTGCACTCTAATTCAAAGCGACTGGGATGGCTGGAAATGGCGGCAGTTGAATGGATGAAGTAATTAATCTCATGGATACTGGAATTCAAACAGCTCTACAATGGTGATGTCACCTTTGAAGGAAGCGAATCAAGTATTAATCAGTTCCACTGGATTATAACTCATAATGTCAAGAAATCTTAAAAGCAGACTTTTGCTGTGTAGACAGAGACCCCTCATTTTCACACTTCAGTCCCCCATCGGGATTGGTTTTCTCAAAGGGTTCGTACAGAATAGAATCCATCCATCCATCCATCCATCCATCCATCCATCCATCCATCCATGAAATATTGGATCCTTATTTGTTATACAAGAGGAGCAGAAGAAAGTAATAACAATTAGAACTGTGGTTTGGAGAATTTGTTTAAGTAGAGAACTTGATATGGCAAATTAATAAATATGATTTTCTCTTTAGAAGCCACTAATAATAAAAATATACATCAGTCGTATGTATTTAATAGCTCGCTGCTTCAGGTTGGCATTAGGGTGTGGGGGGGTTAAAGCAAAGAGGACTGAAGGAATCCACTGACAAAGCTTCTGCAGGGATGAGAGTGCAAAGGGCCAATCATTGCTCTGTAAAGAATTAAAACCACCTCTGCAAATAGCCTCAATATTTGTGCAGTGCCTCAGAGTGGGAGTTTCACAGCGTCTGGGTTTCCAGTGCAAATAAACAGTGCAGAGGTCTAGAAGGGCGGGCCAGTCCCACTTCTCCCACCGGTGAAACCCACTTCTTTGTTGTTGCTTAATCTAGGCCACTCTCAATTGAGTGGGATGAAAAGTGAATCTTTGTGTGCGAATGTGTGTGTGTGTGTGTGTGTGTCTGTGGAGGGGGGGGGGCGTGTTTGATGCATCCAGGACCGACTACGTGTCAGATGAAGCCATACGAAAATGCCTGTTTGTATTCAGTTATTCAATCAGAGGCTAGGCCCTGTGGAGACCACCGCTGTGTTTGCCAGTTCCCAGATAACCCACATCCTTACACTGGGCCTACACATACCAATCCCAGGAAGCTCAGCGCAGAGCAAACTGTCAAATATCTGCACCACTGACCAACAGCTCCACTTAAATCAACACTACATACCCACTTGACTACAGATATGATGAATGGATGATGGTGGAAATATCACAGCTCTCCTTCCTCTGCCCACCGAGGCCCCAGTCCTTTAAATATTTGTCAGATATTTGTATGTTAATGCTCTTTTCGAGCTCCCAATGTCATAAAGTATTTCAGATTGATTTTGTTGGATTAAACCATGGGGTGGTTAAAAGAGAAACGATAAACTCCACACTGAATCCTGGATTCTATCCCTACGAACTTCTGTTTGGACTTAATTTGACTCCTTTTGGGTTCTTTTGCATGGTTTATCTTATATAAACATACTTGTGAAGATTTATGTGCATACCTCCACTGAACATCCCTTTTGGACCTAGCTGCATGAACTTAAAAGAATGATAACAGATTTATTTTACTCTAACGCTGAATTAAAAGCATTCTTCTGCACCAAAGTAATACATTATTGAAGTTAAACACTCAACTTAAACGTGCAGCATATGGTTTATGACACAAACGGTTAATGTGAGAAGTGGTTTCTATACAGACTTCCTCAAAACATCTTACCGTCATTTTGCAAGAGAAGTGAACACTGAAAAGTTTAAACTGTGCAAAGTTTTGGGAAAATGTGCTGCAATTTGCTTTTATTTAATTTGTAGCATTGCTTCTCTTACTTTTCAGGAAATGTACCGTAAACAAAAAGCTGCGGTCTAACACTATTAATTCATTTAACAGTCCCACTTCTGTGATAATACACTTTAAGGCCTGAGGTGGCAGGTGGAGATATTTGTATCTATAAAGAATGTGAAGCAACTTTAAGTGCTAAATCATTTTAGAAAATGTAGTAATCTGGTTAACAAACAGGAAGCTGAATCTCAAAGTAGTGCCTGCAGTAACAATGGTTGTAGGTTGATGCATGAATGGTCTTACCTTTAGCTCTGTTTGATCTGCTGCATGTGTTTGACTGGTTATGTTATACATATGTTATAGCATATGTTTTACCTCAAAATATTTTTTTTTCTGTCTGTCATTTTGCAAACTGCCTGAATAAAAAGTTGAGGATGAAGACGTGTTATCTGGCGTTAATGTTTGCAATCTGGAATTTTAGGACTGATGACAGTAAGTGTCATAATAAAGAGAAAGCTGAACAAAAAATTAAAATATAGTCTCTGGAAAAACTTGGATTTTAAAAAGCAGATGGCGTTTATACCGTTTTATGTCTGCTGCTTCTGAGATTCTGTAATTACGATCGCTACTGGAACAATTAATCATTTGCAGAAGTTTTATGTGAAACCCTTCTTTAAAGTCTCCCAGCCAGTGTGTCACTCTGCGACATGCCCTCAGTACATGAGTTATTATCCCAACTGATGTCGCCACATCTGCAGGAGGGATCCATTTGTTGCTAAGCAGCAGCTGAAGCATGCAGCGTGCTAGCTTCAGCTCAAATTTAGTACTCTGAGCACTTCATTGTGCTTCAGAAAATGAAATGATGAAATATTACAAAGCAGTGTTTCGGTCTGAGGGGAACAAAATGTTCCCCCAAATGGAACCATTTACATTTATATATTAGCATATCGATCTAAACGACTAAGTAATAATTTCCATTGTATGATATGGGATTCATTTAGCATGACTCTCTTAGCTGTAGTTTAAGTCTGCATGTGCTGATTACATTGCTTTCAGTTATCTTCATATGAGGTGTACTTTTTCTATGAAATTATAAAAAGAATATTCATTACATTACACCTGATTAAAATAGCTGAAAAACCACACGTCATGAAGGCTAACCAAACAAAACTGGTGCTTATAGATCAAAACATGATGGGCCTAAATGGACTCCTATATAAACAAATAAATGAAGTTTTAAATGAAATTGAGGACAGAAACAGATGAGTGAAAGGAGCCAATGTTTGAGTGAGGTAAAAGCTTTGTTTTCCAGCAAATGTTTTCATGGGGAGGGGGGGATCAAACTGATATTTAAGCCCCTACTAGCTTTTTTTTTTCTCCTGCTTTTGTTTTATGCAGGGTTCTTTTTACCACATGGTAGTGACAGATTGTTTGAGCTGAAAGGAAAAGCCATTCGAAGCTAATTAAGCAGCCATTCCAGGCACTGTTCGCAGGCAGGAGGGAGAGTAGCACAGGCATTTGTCAGCGCGGTACCCAACGTGGGTTTAATTGACAAGCAGGACTCCTGACTGACAGCTCTGCCAGCCAACAACCAATTGTGAGCGGCGCAGCAAGAGAGCCGCGACATCATTGGACAGAGAGCAGTGAGGCGGAGGGAGGAGGGGAGGCCCCACGTGGGGTGTGCAGCGTGAGCAACACATGATAGGCGGAGGCACAGAGGTGTTGTAGTCTTCCTATTGATGCTGATAGGGAAGCTTGTACACGCTTTTAGGGTCTTGTTAGAAATAGGTCGATCAATTCAAGTCACTAAAAGGACGCTCTACTGTAGATAAAATATATTCTGTGCGCTATGAGGCGTTAATGAATTTCTGTTTATTCATGTTCCTTGTTTGATATCCAGATTAGACTATTTTGCTTAGAATATCTGCATCTTATGAATTGAAAGTATGGCCTCCATGCTCTGCTATCTACACATATTTCAAGGAAACGCTGCCTTTATTGTATGTTTCTATATAGATTCGTATTTTAAATAAAATGTTTCCATCGGGTGACGTTCATACCACAGACACGTGCTTGGGCAAGCAAAGTTTAACAGATGTCGATGGCATTTGCTTTGCCTGGCTGAAATGGACGGACACATAAATTATTACCTTTGTTTTGAACAAGTTGTTTGGACGTTCAGAATGTCACTTCGCATCCAAAATGGCGTCCGTGTGAGGTCACATTGTTTGTCCAATCATAACCACTGTTTTGCTGAAACCCCACGTGGGGGTTAGCGCTCGGTGATTGGTCACCCGTTCTACGCTCCGCCGAAGACTCTGATTGGTTGGTCGTCGGCCCTCTCTCAGCAGTGAGGTCCTCGTGTCAGTGCACAGTCTGTGTGTGGTACAGCGCGCGGCGGAGGAACTGGGTACCCAACGGCAGGCTGGCGGTGAATTTCACAGCGCTCGATATTTTAACACAAAAATAACTGCTCCAGCCGACAGTCCATTCTACCCGGAGTTACTGGAGAACTGGCGCACCGCTGCAGGATCTAACTGCCTGGTTTTTGAAGTTGTCTGCGGTCGAGGACACGTCCTAACCGAGGGGTTTCCAGCGTCCGAACGGACGGACGGAGCGACGCTCTCCGCCTCTGAATCGCGGGCTTTAAAGGACCCTGAAGGGTGGGCGAACAAAAAGAAAAAAAAAAAAACAAGAAACGAGGAAAGACTATTTTTCTACTTTTCAGTGACGGAGGGAGGTCGATAACATTCCGTTGTGTGTGGATTTTATTTCTTACCTGTGCAGAGGAGGGAGGAATCATTCGAGACAAAGGTAAAAAAAAAACGGCTACATGAAGGGAGCCGCTAACAAGGCGAGATGTGGCTTTTATGGGAGCAGACTTCTTGCTTTCTTTCACAACGCACTAGATATATACATATTTTCCTCATTATGGAGCCTTTTCAGTACATTTACAGGAAAAGCGAAGTGAGTATATTCAAAACTAATACTTAAGGATTCATCTGTTGTTCTTTGAAAATGTAACGCATTGTTTTTTTCCCCCCGTTTTACCTCCTGTGATTATACTAAGATGATTAGTAAAGGGAATATCACGATTTAGAGTAAATATTTTCAATAATCCCGAGAAGAAGAAATAAACACTTTATTTGGATGTTTTTTTACGTAACAGTGTGCTCAGTTAGGTCAGTCAGGTTAAATTCTTGTGGCTTTGTTTATTTGATCCTCAGCTGTGCTTCGTTTTCTGTTTGTTTAGGTACAAAGCAAGGCCGGGAAGGTGACACATCCACAGACTGGAGTCTGAAAGTGCGCCTCTTAGCTGAGAAAGGCTTTGTCCACCGCCATCCTGCATATACAGGGGAGGGGGTGGCGGTGATTTTTCTATTTTACTGCACCTTCTCTGAGACTTACGGCAAAAAAAGAGAATAAAAAACATCGATTTGTGTAAAAAAAACTCGACATGTATCCACAAGGCCGGCATCCGGTAAGTAGCTTCTCTTTGCCACTGCTTGTACATTGATGCAAATCAATCACCTCTTTAAGAAAATATATCTAAATTACCTGGGAATTGAGCTGTAGATCCACACCTTCCTATTCAGGGCCTTGTTTGAGCAGAGATGCTCATCAGCATCATTTAAAATGTTCAATTTGGAGGCTATTTGTGACTACTGTAATCATGTAATACCACTGTGGATGGGTTTAAGTGGCTTACCTGAGTAAAAGCAGCCCTTTCTTCTGCTTATTGAGGCACAGGCATGAGGACAAAACAGGAAAAAGTGGGTTTGCCATCATCAGAGATCCACTGATGATGTTTATACCTTCCATTCTTCACTTTTTTTCAGGCACCTCACCAACCAGGGCAGCCTGGCTTCAAGTTCACCGTAGCAGAGTCCTGCGATAGGATCAAAGACGAATTTCAATTCCTGCAGGCGCAGTACCACAGGTAATGGCTAACTGACTGTAAACAGCTCTGGCTTCCTGGAAACAATAGGAAGAGGAAGCTGCTACTGGTTGCTCCATTATTGTAGCCCCATGCAGCAAAACTGACACTTATGGCAAAATAACATTGACACTGCTTTCTCACATTTGCTGTAGTTCTGTTTGATGATTGTGATGGTTGTCTTTCAGAGCCCTTGTCACTTAGTTGCATATAGTTGAAATGTTTTTTTTTTTTTTTTTGTGTTCTTTAGTCTTAAAGTTGAGTACGACAAACTGGCCAATGAAAAGACAGAAATGCAGCGCCACTATGTCATGGTAAGTGTACTAATTGTATGCTCTGATTCAGATTTAATACCGTACCCTCCCATTTGCCTCAGGTGAAAAGTCACAGGTGGTGCAGCCTAGTTGTTTTTCCCGAGATCTCCTTTGGTTGTTGACTCACAGTTGTTTTCATTGGACGAGGAGGTGTGGGGTGGGGGTTAACAGAGGGGCAGCTGAAATTCTAGACGGGGTCAAATGTCCAGCTATTGATTGTAGGGTGTGACGACCCCCTCCCTTCCCATCTGTGTCCCTGTGGGCTCCCCGCTTTGTGCCCATCCAAAACCACCATCCACTCTAAAACACCTAACATGATCCAAAGGAAGTGAAGGGCTCCTCTGCTGGCTTGGGGCATGAATCAGTGGGTTTCCTGTGTGTGTTCGTCTTATAGTTTTATTATAGTAACCTCTTCAAAGTGAAACAAGTGTCACAACCACAGCTTTCTCACACTGGGGAAGAGTCTGAAGCTGTTCAGACTCGCTGGTAACATGTTTTCCATTTGATCTGATGTCAAGTGGACAGCTCTAAGTACATATGTTACAACCACATGTGTCCCTGTGGACCACTTTGGACTTGTTTTCATTATTTCCCCTATGGTTTAAACTTCTAACCCAAGATTTACAATTTTTTCTTTGTCAGCCAAAACCTGAACCTATCATTTGGTTTAATCCGTCTATAATTACAGCATAATTTTAATCAGAGATGATCGCCCTGCTAAATAGGTGAAAATGAATTTAAAAGAAAATAGAAATATATATTTGATGCATTCTCTTTTTGGTATTTTATAGTGCATTTTACATTTTTATCTTATCTTATGGTAAATGCTAAACTTTGCTAATTTCAATAGGTCATTTGTCCCAGAAGTTCAGAATTTGCAAAAGGGGGACAAAAACAGAGTTTTGTAAACATGACTCGACTCAAATGTTCTGCCAACACAAGCATCTGTCTCCCTACAGATAGATTTTCACCTTTTTTTTTAATGAATAACTGTAAAGGTTTCACTTTGAGTTATTCATAGACCCGTGTCTTTGATAAATAAGACTGACATGATTATGCTATAGCTTGGATATGGTTAGTTTGGTGATTTGCAGTCGCATCATTTTTTATTTTTTTGGGCCTTTGAAGTCATAGGTGGTGGTTGTGTGTCAAGACAGCTCACTCAAATGAAACCAGCCCACTGCTGCTGTGGCAGTGAAAAATACACCAAAGTTGTCAGTTTTTTCTTTTTTTTTGTCAAAGTCAGTCTGCTTATTTCTGCTCACTTCCTCTCATCTGCTTACATGTTAGTATGTGCAGAGGTCTGGTTAACATTCTTCTATTTATTTTTTTCCTCACCAAAGTTAAACATGTTAAATATGCCATTATATGTACAGATGAATATAGTATCTGCTCTTTAGTAAGAGTTTTTCTTCAATGCTGTTTTTGATGTTATCTCTGTTCATTTTACAGTACTATGAGATGTCCTATGGACTCAACATTGAGATGCACAAACAGGTATGTAGCCACATCAGATATGCTTTATTTACATCCAAAACAATTTTGTTTTTTTCTCCCCTAGTGTTTGAGGAGCATAAACACAGGCATACAAGCATGTCTGACCTTAGTTCCTGCCCTTATCTCTAAATGCTTTTCAGAGGCGCACACATACAGGCTTCCTGTTGTAAAAATGCTGACAGGTTAAACAACACTAAAGGCGCACCGTGCGATTGGGCGGTTGATAAGATTAAAGTGAAGTATTTGGCAGACAAACCAACAGTGCATGCTTTTAAGTGGCTCGTCCTAAGTTAGTGTTTTTGCGCAAATGCATATCTGCATTCCCATTGCACAGGAATTTGAAATTTAATGAGCAGGCACCTCCCAAACCACTCCACAGAAGAACTGGTATAACATCCAACTTGTTTTCTACCAGTAGATTGAGAATAAATAGAAATAATTGGAGAACATTTTCAGTGTCACAACCTGAGCATTTGATCTCTCATGTTCCTGACTTTGAAGACAGCAACACAGAGTTTTTAGCTTTTGAGGAGCCTTAGAGAATTACACAAACAATGGTATATATCACTGACTCATTTTGATGGCTCACTGGAATTCATAACGTACAACCCTGTACCTGAAACTGCCCTGGAGCTCCCAGGAGTTGAGAAACCACACTCAATAACTTTGGTTTGCAGCTCTGTGGTATCACGCAAGAAATGTGCTCAGGGTTTAACTGCCACAAACCGCTGCCCTAAGTGGATAAGAGTTTTAATGTATCTACTTTGATCAAAGTAAAGATTTTCTTTTTTTTATGGAAGAGAAAGGAATACATTTTTTTTTCCCCCGAAAACTGATACAGTGGCATGTGATTGGAAAGATGGGAGTCCATAATGGAGAAAACAGTACTGCAGTGTTTTTGGTTGAACCATGAAACCAAGAAGCTGTTAGAACAAGAGGCCACTGAACAGACTTGTACTTTCTATAGGGAACACCTAAGAGAAATGGCAAACTTAAGAGATGATAAATTGGTTTTACTTTTAGGCTTTATTTGAAACTCATCAACTTTCTTGTTCTTACATATGTTAAGTTGCTCTTCCTGGCTTTGGTCGTTTTTTATTTATGTGCGTGTTTACGAAGATGAGATAACTCTGATTCAGCATTAACTTAACAGTGGAGGTTGCAGGCGTGTGGACACTGGACAAATGTAAGTCAGTGAAGTTGCATCAGAAAATATGTTTACCTTTCCAGCACTTGGTCCATTCATATAAAATGCACGCACACACACATTAGTATGTTAATACAGATGAATAGTTTATTGCAGTGGTTGCTCTTATTAAAGTGGCCTTTATTTTAACTCTTTTTAGGGGAGGGAGAACGACGTGTGTTCTCCAGTGCTTTATGAGCTAACTGTTCAGTTTTAGCCTTATCCATCTTGTCTCAAAGGCAAATTTATTCACCTCAGTCTCACTTCAGATCATCTAGTAGATACAACTATAATGTGAAATTGTCTGGCTAGTTTGTGTAAAGGCTAATTTATGCTTCTGATGCATAGCCTCTGCAACGGTCAAATCTGTCTCTGTGCGCGACCACGCCCTCTGCTCAGAGGTTCTGCAATGGCCATTGTGAACCTAAAAAAAATCCTGACTACGCGTCGGACGGTCTAAATCCGTGCGGACCTCAAGTGGAAGTGGGCAGACAAAAAGCAGCTGTGATTGGCCCTTGGTATGCCTTTCCAGCTGTCTGTGTGGTCGTCCTTCTCAATTCTGTGCCGGGGCCCGCCATTTTTAAAAATCGAGCAACAACTACACTGGACAACTACGACGAAAGGTTAATCGAGGAGGTTCACTCAGAACCTGTTCCCCTTCAATGTCTAGCAACTCTAGATCCATCTCCGTGACCGTGATACCTTGCAGATGCGCCATTGTTGTTTTGGAAGATAAACACTCACGCCAGCGCCGCCAAAGTTCTCGTGACTATCTGCCGAAGTTCTTGTGAGTACTTGAATAGGCTCCCCCTTGTGCTTTGGCGGGAAACTGCTGTGTGTCCCTAGAAATTCCAGACAGACTGTGCAGAAGCATAGCAGCAAACCTGGTTTGCGACCAGACCCAAGCGACATTTGATGTGTGCAGTTACAGAAGTCTAATCTTCCCTTAAAGCTTAGACCAAACTTCTAAAGTTTTTTACTTGTCTACAACATACTGTGGTTTTGTCGTGCATCTCTAAATGGAGCCCAGGAGTCAAACGGATGGAAGTGAATCACCTAAGGCAGTAGATTGTGTGTTATGGTGATGGAGGATGCAGGCAGGCGTTTTTAAAGCGAGGTGTCTTTGAGCTGGAGATCAAAAGTATAAACATTGCTATGTTTGCTGTGGTGTAATAGATAACCTTTATGTGTGTTAGGACTACTGATCGCATATCTCCTTTTGGAACCGCAAATCTGAAATAAAAGTTCTTCTTTGAAGTGTGATATACTTCATGTAAATAAATATATTTTTTCTTGACCTATTTAAAGGGGTCATTTTATTTTTAAATTGTTTCAGACCTCATCTCTTTAATTTGCACTTTTTTTTTTGCTTCCCCAGATTTTTCTCTTTTTTTTTTTTTTTGTCTCTTCTTTGTGCCCTCATGTTTTATCATTGCTTCCTCCTCCGCCCAAGTGAAGGGATATGAATGATGGCTCTTGTGTCATTAGCTGTATAATATGATGTATGAGAGTGGCAAAAGGAGAGATGAAGAATGGTGGGGTGGAGGCTTCATGGCCATGAGATCCAGAAGGTTAATGTCATCAGTGGAAGGGTAGCCCGGTTGGAGGAGCAGCACACTTCTCAATTCATCTGCCGTTGAAGTTTGATTTGGCACTGGGTGTGCTAACTAGATGTATTTCTTTATTATTAAGAAGCTAAACTTTGCCAGACCCCCATCCTTTTTTGGGACTGTTTCCGTGAGGCACTTATCAGCAGGTAGAAGTGATATGTGGTTGGAGTTAAGCCTAGCCGTGGACAAAATGAGTGGGAAGAATAATCTGCAGAATAGGCGTTCCGGGGTAAATGGGTTAATCGACTTCTCCCGTGCATCTCTTTTGTTTGTCAATAAGCCCAGTGGAGAGCTCTCTGAATAATTTATGGCTCCTTCCACCCTCCTTCCTTTCTTTTCCCTTCTCCCATCCCTGCTGAACAAGTGTTTGTGATGACATCAGCGAGAGGTAAACAAACGGCCCCTAGCTGTCCCTGTTATTCATATGAAAGACTGCAGGCTGGATTATTAGAAACAGCTACTTCGCTTTTGTTGAAAATTTATATTGGTGTGAAGAAAAAAAGAAATTATAAATTCCCTTTGTTACTCAATAAATCTGGATCAAAACAAGGGACTTGTGCATAAACACACAAATGTAGAAAAATCCCACCATGGAAACACCGTGTCTACTTACACAAACATACAGTAATTGAGGTTCCTGCACACAGTTTCCTCTATGCTGCTGCTGCTGCTGCTGCTGCTGAGCTGAGCGGTTGTCATGAAAGGGATGTGTGTGTGTTGCTGCCAGGAGGTAATTTGTTTTGACAGTGTCTCTTATGATGGCAAAAAAGTGCAGGGTGGAGGTAATCACCCCTGCTTGCTGTCAATAAGTGATTTTAATTAGCGGAGCTCATTAGGCTGCCTCAGCTACATGCCCTGCTGACTGTGGTGTAGGTGAGGAGGGGGGTTGCTTTGTTTCCGACTGCCTCTGCTCCCTGTCCGTCTGATTGTTTATCCCAATCAATCTTTCTTTTATTTTAATCTCAGCTTCTTCTTTGCTTTTCCCAAGCAGCGCAAAAAAAAAATTTATGCGATTCAAAGAGAAGTGATCCAATAGGTCCATATTAGATGTATACATGTTGCCACTCAACTTTTGTTTGACTTTAGCGAGCTGTTTCTATGAATGTGCCGTGTTTATCCTGCTCCTCACTTGTTGAATGAGTGAAGGAAAGGGGAGAGAGCGTTATCTAGAAGGATCATGTCTGTTTCCTGAAGGAAGAGGGCGGGGGGAGGCGAAACAGAGGGAAGGAGAAACAGAGCTTGTGCAAATGAATAATTTATGGTGGATTCCTGGAATTGTTTGCCAAGGTGATGATGGTCGATCCGTCTCAAAGCCAAAACAAACGAAGTAGGAGAACACACACCCACCCACACTCGGGGGAGTTTGATGAGGTTACTCAGGGTTGTGAGGCGTGCTTTATTTTGATAGCCAGGCTGGAGAAGTTGGTAAAGTTACACCATTATTGTTTGGGTTTATGTTTCCTAATTGGCTGCTGTTAGGATTCAACACGTTTAGCTCACAGAATTCAAACAGAAGATTTGTCAAAATGAAGACTTTAGCTTTCATGAAGAATGTTGTAATCTGTCACAAACGCTTCCCTACAGAAAGGAACCTTGTTTCTTTTTTTCTTTTCTTTGTATAGTTTCCAACTAAACTGACATGCACATGCAAGATGTTCCTCATGCATTTGTAATGAACTAGGTACCTCTAAGTGGCTCTTTCTTCCCCTTGGCCTGGCTGTAAAGATAATTCCCAAACAGCCATCTCTGCCTCCTCATCTTATGCCACTTGTTTTCCTCGCCAATTGAATCCTCGTCAGAGACTCTGCTCTCCACTCGGGGGCTAATGCCTGGAGCGACAAACAGCCAAACGGCTTTCAACGCACCATTGACAGAGGGATGTGATGGAGAGAGGGCGAGCCTCTCCAAGCTCTGCTGCTTGGAGACAACTCTGAGTACCTGTAATTGTGGAGCTGCAGAGAAAAGCTTCTGGTGGCTCAGAGGCCTGTTTCCCGCGGCTTTAAGTGACTATAAACTGCTGCTGAAAGCTCTGTAAAATATGGTTATTTAAAAAAAAAAAAAAGATGTCCTGTTTTGAGTTCTGTAAGCCAAAGCGGGTGTTACCTGCCTTTTCATGTTTGACGGTCAGCAATTTGTCCTGACACATTTATCCTCATTGAGTGAACAGTGAGGATAAACCCCAGGGCTTGAAGCACTTTTACAGCTGACATGTTAAACACTTTCTATTTTTTTTTCTTCCTCAGATTAACTTTGGATTAAAATTCACTGGAGGTCAAATGTTTTTATAATCTTTAGCTTTTAAAAAGGAGTCCAGTTTGATTAGTTTCTTTTTTTTTTTTTACTTGTTGGTACTCTAGGTCAGCTGAACATTTTCTATGTAGCTTGATGTTGTGATAAATTCAACAAAAGACAAAAGTGCACCTGAATTCCACGAATGTTTTTTGGCCTCCAATAGTGGTCCTGAAGTGGCGATTTGCTACAAAGCAAATGGATGCCTTTCTCTGTGACTGAGTGCTTGCAAAGCAGTTGCTCTAATAGGAGAGTGTATCAGCATACAGCTGTTTCTACAAGCCCTGTGCTGCTTCCCCCTGCAGCCATTTCCACTGCAACGCACTCACCCTGCCTGTGTCATTGTATACAGCCCCCACTAATGATGATTCTTTATGAGTCCCCGAAGAGCCCCCCTCCCACCCCTTCTCCATGTCAGCTCACCCCCAGTGTAGCCCCCACCCTCCCTCCCCGCCTCCACATTCCCAGTTATCCCTCATTAATTTCCCGTGCCGATCAGATCGACAGGCCGAAAATTCAATTTAATGACCTGCCTCTGTGCTGCTCCTAATATGATTTTACAGGCTGTTCTGGTCAGAGCCCCAGCCCAATTTACATAACGATAAGCCCTGCCAGATAGCGTTGCCCCAGCAACTGAAGAGGGGAAGATGAGAGGAAGAGAAAGGAGGGAGGGAGAGAGGAGAGATTAGCATGAAGGGGTGTGAAGAAGCTTTTGGAGGATGTGGGAGAAGAGAAAGCACAGTCCGTTTGAGGTCAAACAGGGGTTGTGAGATAAATCCTGACAGGACAGCAGAGGTCTGCCCCCCCCTCCCTCCCTCTTTTCTCCCCTTCTTTCCCTGCCCCCTGAAACTGAAGGGGGTGACAGAGGTTTTCCAGAAAGCTCCTGGCACCTCCCGTCTCCCCCCCTCCACTTTTCACATTCAAACAAGGTTAAGGAGTAAATGAGAGGAATGCGGCAGCGAACAAAATGGCGGGAAGGACCTCTCCAACCCACACACACCTGCTGGGCCTCCACCCCTAATCTCTCAGAATCAATTAGTTCACCTCCCCTGGTCCAGTCAAACCACATTACCTTAGTGTCAAATCAGGGGATTTCTCTCCTCCATTCATCACCACTTTGCATGCCCTTCTCTGCGCTTTCATTCCGCTTCCCACTTTTGTCTTCCTCCTCTGCTCCTCACCCTCCTCGACTCGACGGAAAGTGCAGAATTTAAAAGGGGAAATTGGCTTGGGCAAAATGTCATGGGACCTCCGAGTGCAGCAGACAGGCAGCGCAGCATATCCATTTGCCCAAATGCAGCACTGTAAAGTGCATTATGTACATTGAGCCCCACAGTATCATCTTACTCTGCCGGCTAATATTATGTGGTCGATACCAGAGATGCCTCTGATAGATTGGGCTGGAGAGTTAACCTGTCTGCTTCAGCGTGCCCTCCCCCTCCTCTTTATGGACCGTAATTATGAAGTATGGACCTCATTAGGCTCGCTCCAGCCAGATGGTATTAGCATATTTCAGCCTCCTAATGAAATAAAGGCTTGAGCTTAATGGAAGCATTGGAGAGGGGGAAGTAAATTTGTTCTTGGGCGGTCCCAATTTAGTTAGAAATGCAATTTGGTTAGAAAATGCATGTTTTACCCTGATGGACGATGCAAACAGTTTAGTTTTATAGGTAATTAAACCGCCCAGTTCTTTGGTGCATGCAGTCCATTTTAAGCCTTTTCTCCTAATGTTTCCTTTTCTACTCTCCTGCAGACGGAAATTGCCAAACGTCTCAATGCAATTCTGGCTCAGATCATGCCGTTCTTGTCACAAGAGGTGAGTCTCTACCCTGCAGGATGCATGTTAAAGAAAACAATCCAAATACTCTTCTCACAAGCTGTGCATCAAGAAGTCAAAACACTAAATTGAAGCTGTTGATCAAAAGCTTAGATGAATGAGGGGGAAAGATTTATAATGTGAGATTCAACAACAGATTTAATATATCAGACTGGTCCAGTCAGATCTGTTCAGTTTTATATCTAAGGAAAACCAGCTGATTGCATCAACTTGTTCGACTCACACTGAACAGATCAAGTTATTGGTTACATTGTTGTTGTTTTTTTAACTGAATATTGCAGCAATAACTTTAGGACTAAATCACACATTGTTTCTCTTCTGTTATGATTAAAAATTATAAATCGGTGCACATGTATGATCTGCTTGAATTGCCTCTGTAAAGTGCCTTGAGAGGACATGTGTTGTTAACTGACGCAATATAAACAAACAGAATTGAAATGAATTTGGAAGTTGTTTGGCTAACGTTTTGTAATTAGGACCAAGCCTCAATAAAATAATTAAAAAGAACCAAAGTGATGATTTTTCTCTACTTTTTAATGTTTTTGTTTGTTTAAACTGATGCTTCTACAGATTCAGTAATACTGACATTGATGTGTTTTCTCATATCTCCATATGTTTGGTAAAATTGTGGTAAAACAAACCAAATGTAATATATGAATAAAGACAACCTCTGTTGTGTATGGATATCAGAAAAAATCTGCTCCTAGTAAATAGAAAATTCATAACTTCTCTGGGTTTAGTTTTCAAAAACAATCATCCAGATAAAAAGTCTGAACAAAAGTCTTTTTGACCTGACTGTTCTGCAAGATTTCCCCTTTATTCTTTGGACCGTACCAAACACCCTGTATGAATGTCTATTACTGGTTTTAAGGACCCAATTAAGGACCTATTGTCCACCTTGAGAGGCAGCTGAATGTGTTGTTTTTAACAGACCTTTTCTCCATCATGTTTCTAATCCTCTCTTGTTTGTGTCCTGCAGCATCAACAGCAGGTGGCTCAAGCTGTTGAAAGAGCTAAGCAGGTGACAATGACTGAGCTGAATGCTATCATCGGGGTACGTGGACTTCCCAATCTGCCTCTGACTGTGTGTATACCCTCTTCTTCTTCTTTTATTTAACCAAAAAGCAGAGACAAAAAGCTGCATTCACAGAGGAGGACCAGCCCTCATATACTTATAGACCACTGAAATGTTGTCGATTAGATAAAGAAATCCTAAAAAGAAAAGACATCGGAGCAATACCTGCAGCCATGTTGCCACTAGTCCTTAGATATTTTCAAGTGTTTAACATTAGTTGTGCCATGGTCCCTTCTCCTGTGCAGACTTGTCTCTGTCTTCCGTGGTTTATTAGTTTTAGAATACACAATGTTTGCCATGATCTTCCAGTATGCTGTTCACAGCTGTAATTTCCCTGAATGCTGCTATGTTGACCTTTCCTCACACAGTGAGTCGTTCCAAAGTGAGCCTCTGCTCTGAAGCAGTGTTCCAGCTGGGATCAGATTATAGGGTTTCTCACATTTCACTTTACTCGCTCTTTAATTACTTTAAGGTTTCAGCCAAAAGGCCTACCTTCACCTCTGGACCAGAGAATCAGTGTGTTCAGGTCAGGACAAGCTTTAGGATCGCAGCAGAGAAAACAGCAGTGGGAACATTGCAGTTACTGAAAATAAAATGCTTGGGATTAAAGTTGAGGCTGTGAAGTATGGCCTAGTCTGTAGAACAACTGTTCACACTTGTTGAAACAGTCTCACAGCTGTAGGTCAAGTTTCATTTTTTTCTTTTTTTCCCCAAATGCAGGTTCATGATATTCCTCTAAATGAAACCCATGTAATATATCTAGTGTTATCATATTGGTTGCTAGCACTTAAGATGTGAACCTTTGTATTTAAAGTAAACACCTGTTTGCTAGAGCCTCAGTTCATCCTAAAAACATTCAAATAATACAGGAATGCATCTAAATGCATTTTCAATATTTTATTTTCAAGTACTTTGCAGCCATGAGAATAAATGGAGAAAATCTCCTCCAAAGCTGGTAAAGACAGTTTCCACACAGGATTAATCAGCATCAGTTTAGTAGACTTGGAGGTTCTTTCTATGGTTTAAGTCATTTAAATAGTCTCACTAAGGTTGCGTTCGGGTTAAAATCTGGTTTGCTATCAAATAAAAACGAGCAGCCTGGCCTGTGTACTCCAAAGAAGAGACAGAGACGCTGTTGTGCGCTCCTCTCCACTGTTTTGCATAGTTTTTTAGCCCAAGGCAACACATGATTGAGTCTTATTTGACAAGTGTCAGAGGTGCTGGATGTTTTGCATGCTCCTGCCTTTATTTCCATGAGTCCAGCATTTAATTAGATCGTAGTTGGATGCTGGTTGACCTGCCAGCTACAGGTGGTGCGCTGCTTACAGTGTATCATGTAAATACTAATCTGTGGAGGACAGCACAAACCTTTACACCTGGCTGATTTTCATACCACTACAGCTCATTTGCCTACCGCAGTGTCCTTCTTTGCATGTTTTGTTTGGATATGTATATTCAGCGTTACTTAAGTTTATTTTACTTGCTTATTTATAGATTTTTAGAAAGTAGTAAAGAGTGTGTTATAAATTGAATGAGTCTGGATATTTAACTAAATGAAACACGAATAAAATAATTTTTTACTTTATTTGTTAAAAAACATCAGATAGTCTGATAATGCAAATGACCAACAGGTTTATTACTGGTTTGGCTGAATCCCTTTAATCTATCACCAGCCGCTAACTTCTAGTTTCTGTTTAGTTGCCATGGCCTTTGTCTTTCCTCCCTCTGTCCCATTTGTTGTTTTTAGAATATTTTGTGGTCTAATTGTTTTCGTTAGATAAGTGGAGAAATTCTGATGAGCTGCAGAACTGTTGTAAGCCACAGTTGGTAATGCAGCGACTATTGCCAGACTTATCAAGCCAGTCTGCTGCCAGCTGGTTTGTGCTGGTTCTGTTGATGCTTGTTCCACCTGACAGTACCGTTCTGCGGGGAGCCAGTTTCGCCTAGTTAACTTTAATTGCCTGTTTCCAGTGGAAGTTGCCAAAGTTGCTGCAGCATTTCCACAAAATGGAAAAAAGATACGTGTGAAAGAGAGCGAGCTCTTTATCCATGAATATTGAATTGGAAGCAATTTATTTTCTGAAAATTTCCCCCCCCCTGCTCTTCTCTCTCTCTCTGCCCCTCATGACTTCCCTCCCTCGTCTCTCTTCTCCTCAGTCATAGCACGCTAATGAGGCTTCTTGATAATGATCCCTGCACGCTTTTCCTCATTAGGCACACTCAATAGGGACGTCCCTGCCTCAATCCCTCGCCCACTCTCTTTTATTCTCTTGTTATTTTTGTGATTCTGCCTCTCCTTCCTCGTCTCGTTCTGGCTGCCCTTTCCTTTTCCGTTTTTTCCCAAGAAACGGGCAGCTCAGCTCAACAGTGTAGAATCGATTATCAATGTTGGCCCTCATTTGCTTGCATCCATCTGACGATCCCAGGTCTAGCTTGACATAATAGGCCGGCTGAATAATGGCCAGCTGTTAAATAAACTTTAAATGTGGTAAGCCACCCTATATACATTGGTCTGCTTTCTCCATTTTGTATAATGAATGTATGGATCGGGTTATTGAAGTTCTATCTTGCAAGCAGAAAGGCAATCTTTTTTTCATCTCTCGCCATTTGAAGAGGCAGTTGATGGATGTGCTAAGTGTTATTTAACCTTGTTTTAAAGCACTTGCTTCCCTCTTGCCTGAGTGGCTATTTAACTCCTGTCTATCTACTCTCTTGGCTCTGACTGCCTCTCACAGACATTCATGGCCTCTTGGGAGATATGTGTGTGTTCTCCACCGTCTTCTCCTTAGTGGTATTTTGCTGAGGCGGGGCATGCTGGCTTGGTTTTCCGGAGTGTTGAAAGGATTCGAGGCTTTCAAGAGCAGACCTATTGATTTTTTTTTTCTTTTTTCTTTATTCTCATTCTATCCTTCTGATTGAAGCATTTTGGGACCGAGCATAACTGTTTGCTAGCCAAAGGGCATGAGATCTTCCATGAAAACAACCTGATGGAAGGTCATGCACCATAAGAAAAAACAATTAACAGTAGAAGAAGTCTGTGTTATGTGAGAACAAGACTTGAGGAAAAACCAGTCCTTTAGAATAAACAGAGTTGGTCACAATCCAAGTCCAGAAGGAGTCATTGCTCATCTGGATTTAAAAAAGAAAAAAAAACAAATCTGAACTTGTCAGATTAGTTATCAAGCCGTAGTCCCGTTTCTTATCCATTCATTATGTGCAATTCTACATGCATTGTTTATGTTTTCTCTTTGCAGTGAAGATTTTAAAAAGCTTTTATATTGTGCCCCTTTCCTCAGACTGCGGTGTTTGGTGACCTTTCCACAGAAAAATATTCTGCAGATAAATATTTTTTCATCTTAGTTGCACAGCCACATTTCTTTATTTTAGATCATTGTAGGTTATGGGAAGTAACTATAGATCATTTTTATTGGTCAAAGCTATGAAATGTCTCTCAGCAGAGAAGTGTGTTTTTTTTTGTTTTATTTTTTTTATTATTGAATTGGTGGTTCGGGAAGTAAAATAACCGAAAGCATAAAATGAACAGATCATATATACAGAATTGGGTACAGAAAAATTCCTTCATCTCAGATGTTGGACAAGGTGTAATTATTCCTGATGTTTAAATGTTTACAGATATCTCTCAAGTCCAAAAATGAAATATAGTTTCTGTTTGGTTATTTTAGATTTAGTTAGAGATCAGTGTGTTAGTAATTTATTCTGCAGGTTTAAAGTCTTATAAAAGGCATCAGTTTGTTTTCTGTTTATAGTCATATAAATATTCTGTTATGATGTTTTGATATGTATTTATGTTTCTCTTAACTATCGACTGAACATTAAATACGGACCGTATGTGTTTGTTTTTTCTGTTTGGGGAAAATGTATCACACTGCTTCCTCATGCATAATTGAAGTTATGTTGTATAACTGCACAGCTGAGAACTAGAGGCAAAAAAAAGGAAAATATCACATGTAGAGGTTTTAAAGTGCTCTATCAAACCCCCCCTCCCTCTGAGCGGAACAACTTTCTCTGAACACAGAGGGATCTGAAAACAGTCGTCCTATTGTTCATCAGGCAGCAGGTTCCACAGAGTGTCTCCAAAGGCAGCTTGGAGGCTCTGGGAGAGCGTGGTCACTCATGGAGGAGTCATTTCCCAGCTGACCCACTTGTCCTTTGTCTTGTCCGCTGTCTCTCTGCGTTTGTTTACAGCAGCAGCAGCTTCAGGCTCAGCACCTCTCTCACGCTGCCCATGGCCCCCCAGTTCAGCTGCCCCCTCACCCCTCAGGCCTGCAGCCGCCCGGCCTCCCCCCAGTGACAGGTGCTGGATCCGGTTTACTGGCTCTGGGCGCTCTTGGCAGCCAGGCCCACCTGCCTGTGAAGGATGAGAAGAACCACCACGACCTGGAGCACCGAGGTGAGGAGCACAGCCTGCCACACAAAACACCTGCAGCACTTTAGTGGTGCTGACTAGAGCAGTTTATACCGGCTGAATATACTTTATCCAAGACACATAAGCTCTTGTTTTTCAACGCTGAATTATGCACAGAAATACTGAGAGGGAAAATCTTTACTTTTAGTGGATTTCCTTTACCTTATGTTCTGTTTTAATATGAAACTAGAGTCTACTTGTCATTTCTTCCTTTTATAAGCAATGAAACACTGTTTCATATGAGTGTTATAATGAATTGCTTTTGTTCTCCATAGTTTCAAAAAGTTGATTTAAAAGTAACTCTATATTTTTTATGATTAAATCCTCTTTAAAACAATTTTTCATTAGTAGATTTTAACTACCTTGATCCCACAGAGCTGCATATATCAGTTCTCTGTGTGAATAAAGGAGCTGTATTGCTCTTTGATTGCAGTCTTCGTTAACCCCCCCGTACTAATTTGTACTTTGCTTTCCTCCCTCCTGGCCCCTCATCTTTTCACTCGCCACTGGCCATTCCTCTGAAAGAACGCGAGTCCAGCACGGTATGTTGACTCTACAACTCTCCATCTCCTGTGTGTGTGTCCTGACTTGGTCTGTGCCTAGCTCACTGTGTTTGGTCATTAGGTGTACTTTACATAGACCTAAGCTCACTGTTCAATAGACATTCAGGCTCTCTGTGTAAGAGCACACACATTTTTAGACTGGGGGATATGCACCGAATTTAAATGACTTCTGGCTAAATAAGCAGGTACCTTCTAATCCAGGTGGAAAATGACTCTAATCACTGGACAAGGATTAGTACCCTGCTACCTTCTTTAACTTCAGCACAAATAAAGGTGACTTTGAATACCCTTTTCCTCCTTTATCACTATAGAGTACTGAGTGAGGAGTCAGTCATAGCCTATTGTTATTCCATATTCAATAAACATCATACTTCTTTGTTTATGTTGTGTTTTCTCCTGGTGTTTTGTATCTTCCCATCCCCTTTTTCTCCCTTCCTCTGTCTTGTGTTGTCGCCATCTCTCCATCTCTTCTCATGTTAAAATCCTTGTTTATTGGACAGGCTTAAAGCTCTCAGTTAGCTGAAGTGTAACGCTCCGTTGGATCTGCTCAAACAGATTAAGTTCCCATTGACTGGCCATCCTGAATGGGCTCACTCATGTCAAAAGGGAACCCTAACTCTTCCCCCGTCTCGTTTGGTGACAAGCGGCTGCAATACCACCTTACCTGATCCCTCAGCCAACCTCTCCTCCCTCTTTTTGTTCAGTGCACAGCGACACACAAAGTCTTCCTGTTCTGTTGTCTCAGGTCATCTGATACCACAGTTGAAGGGAAGTGCAGGGCTAAGCAATCTTAAGATTGTTAGATCCCTAAGGCTCAGATAGAGACAGGCTGTAATGGTGTAGGAGATGGTGTTGCAGTGAACCAGAATGGTGGCCTTGTTTTGGCTGCGGCAGCTGAACATATTTCCCAAAAAAGAAGGCAGAAAAACCTACTGTAAGAAACCTTTAACAGCAATACATTATTTCTATCTCAGATAAAAATGTCTGCAGCTCAGGACTTCTTTTAATCAGAATCCTGACCTCAATATGAGCTTATGCCTACCCCACCTAAGCACTTGTTGCCTTTCAGTCTGATTGGCATTGCCACTCTACAAATGTGGACTACAAAAACCCAGTTTGCAGCTTTTGAGAAAAAACCAACCTGTCTGAGCGTTCCCACTAGTGGGGGAGAACTCATGGCTACTATGCTATGCTGTTATTCTCTGCCAAATTCCTTTTCTGCTTTAGTCTCTCGTCTCTTCCTCCCTTCTTTTCATCACTAATTTTCTCGCTCTGGCTGTCAGGACCCTTCTCTGTAGGCAGCACACTTTGTCTCGCCACGTTGCTCTTGTCCTGAATTTCTCAATGGTCGTCTGTCCATCTGTCTTAATCTGATTTTTTTTTTTTTATTTTTTTTTTTTTACGTCTGTTGGTTTTCTAGTTAGGACCTGCCTCAACACTTGTAATTTAAGATCTACAATATTGAGTCAGTGGTGTTTGTATATGTGTGTTAAGAAAGCAGCATAAGTTTGATTTAATATGATGTTATACACTTGGCTTTGGCCTGGTTGCTGCTGTAGTCAACAGCATTGTCAGGTTTTATGTAAAGTTGACGTTTTCTCTCCAGTTTCACTGGTGACTATTCACCTTCCCAGTTAGTGTTTGAGTCCTTCAGTGTTTCTGTGGGTTTGTGGTTTTGCTCAGCTGCCTCGTCTGTTTCCTCCTTGCTCTGCTGCCTGGGCGGGAGCAACTGGGCTCAGCTTTCCAAGAATCCTCCCCCACCCCCCTCTTTAATTCCGAGTCAGTCCAAAAGTATTGTGCAGTTTTCTTTAGTGCTAATATTAAAGCTGGCCTGCAAATAAAAAAAAAGCTACACAAAATGACTGGATGTAAAAGTAAAGTTTTGTTGGTTTTCTGATGGTTATAATATTACAAATTCAATAATTCATCAAATTACCAACTTGAAATAAATCTGTCTGTGTAAATCATAATAAATGCTACGTTAACTCCATGGGAACTGTAGTCTGATGTGGGCCTTGTGTGTTTGTGGCAGAATAACTCGGTGTCGCCTTCAGACAGCCTGCGGGTAGCGAGTGAGAAGCACCGCAGCTCTTCAGACTACAGCGTGGACTCAAAGAAACGAAAAGTGGATGACAAAGACAGCAACAGAGGATATGTGAGTGTTGGTTTGTTCATTGTTTGCTCTGAGGATTTTGTCCTTGTAAAAGCTATCCGTGAATTCAGACTCGTTCATAAAAGATAAAGCCTTTTTTACATTAGAAGCCAAATACTTTCTATGTTATTGTTTTCTATGTTTCCACTCATCTAGTTAATAATACATTCCTTGCCACTAATGTTTCTCTTTTATTTCAGGACAGTGACGGAGAGAAAAGTGACGACTTGGTGGTGGACGTGTCCAATGAGGTAAGCCGACGGTTTAGCTACTCCGTCACATTCTTCAGCAGGAAGGCTGCAAAGAAACCAAACACAGCTCTCCTTTGTCTGTTGAAGCCTCGACACCTTTCACTGTGTTGCCAGAACGTCTGTCATAATATTGGTTGTGTGCTTTGAGAGTGTTTACTCTGTGCAGTTCCTTTTGCCATTCATGCAGAATATAAGACAAAGAATACAAAGAGAAAAGGGTGTGACAGGTGAATGAAAAGTGCATACATGTGTGTGAGGGTGGGTATGAGCATACATGAGTATATTTATCTGTGTTTGCACATGAGGCCCCAGCTTGTTTGACCTGCATGTAAATGCCAGTGGCTTTCCTCCAGCCTATTTGCTCAGTCTTGCACTCTGTCTGGTTTAACTCCGTAGGATCCAGCCACCCCTCGAGTGAGCCCCGCCCACTCTCCTCCAGAAAACGGCCTGGATAAGCCACGAGGACTGAAGAAAGACGCTGCCCCCAACAGCCCTGCCTCTGTGGCCTCTTCGGGCAGCACGCCGTCATCTAAGGCGAAGGACCACACCCATGTGAGTTTACCAAGTTGATGAAATAGGGGGATGGGGCGGGGGGTTATGTTGGAGGTGATGAAGCCTGTACTGACAGTTTAAAGAGCATTTGTCAAATGAAGTGGGTGTGTTTCTGAAAGACTAATATGGAGGCTTAGGAGTTGGCTGCTGTGGAGGATTTAAAGGGAGCAAAGGGGTGGATGTCTTTTCAGGAAATCAAACCCTATGGCTCAGTTCTATCAATCTCCTTTATGGCTTAGCCAGTAAAGAGTCATTTCTCCACTGCTCCGAGGCTGTAAATAACCCAGAGTCTCTGCAGAGGGACACATGCTGTCGCTTGCTTTATCGCGTTATCTAATCTGCTTCTCTTCCATCCCTGAAATGCCTGTTGAGTTTATTTATATTTCATATGTAACAGCAAATGTAAACAAAGCAGCTCACAATTACCCTAATAAAAGTATAATAGACACAAATTTTGAGATTTTAAGAATAATTTAGTAAAATTTACATTAAAGTTAGCTTGAAATTTTACTGGTGATTATTATTAATGATCAACACAGCGAACATGTTACTGCCTCCTTCCTTCATTAGCATGTCAGCAGCTAAAGCTGCTCTTTTCTTTCTTAACTAGTTTGGGATTAATCGATGATTGTTTGGGCCTCTGCCTTGCATAAGGGTTTCCCAGGAAGTCCTCTCAAGCTTGGCTTCCAAGCAAAGGCTTATGCCCTTGCCCTGAAACACTGTCACAACCTCATAACCAAGCATGTGACAAAGTGCCCATGTTAGATTGGATCCTACATATGCCCATGTTAGATGTCAAGCTGTCCGCTCAGATTGTCCCTCTGGCTGGATTTTCCTGCCTTTCGGTAGCGTTTCACTCGCACAGGGGTTTTGAACGTTGGCAGTGGATCCAGTTTCATTAATATATCAGTCTTTGAGAGAGATTTTTTTTTTTCTTAAGGGGTTATACTAGATATTTGAGGCTGAAGAATTTCTCTGTTACAGAACGACAAGTCGTCAACGCCGAGCCTGAAGTCCAACACACCTACACCGAGGAACGAGGCCCCCACACCAGGAACCAGCACCACACCGGGACTGAGGCCTTTATCTATGGGAAAACCTCCTGGCATGGAAGCATTAGGTGATTACAAAAAGACGAGTTTCATTAATTATTATGTTAGATTTAACAGAGCAGCAATTCTGTTCTGTTTTTCCTGTACCTTCTAAACGGGGTTTCCTTCTCACCGCCAGCTGCCCCGGCTCTCCGTACCCCCCTGTCTATTGCTGGTTCTTATGCCTCTCCGTTTGCCATGATGGGTCATCATGAAATGAACGGATCCCTGACCAGCCCCGGCGTGTATCCGGGTCTCATTTCACCACAGATGAGTGCTGCTGCCGCCGCCGCTGCCTATGGACGCTCGCCAATTGTGAGTGCAATACTTTTAAAATGTATATTAGTTTTAGTTCAGACATTTGTATACTGAATGCAATAGAGTTCAGAGTCATCACACTAGTCGTCCTCCACATCTGTAATTTTTTAATAAAATATGTTTAGTTTCTGCAGAATTTGTTTTTTTGTTTCCTTGACTAATTACTCTTTTGACAGTGTTGGTGTTTTACTTTTTCGTCAGGCTTCTCTCTACAAAACAAAGCCAAATCTGCTTATTTCAAGGAATTTCCCTGAAAATTTTAGTCCAAACATTCAAGGTGTCTGTATCAAAATGTACTTGTTTGCTACTAGTTGAAATTAAAGTGCGGCTTTTGTTTGTGTCATCCAGGCGGGGTTTGACCCCCATCCTCACATGCGAGCTCCAGGCCTGCCAGCGAGCCTTACTTCCATTTCAGGAGGAAAACCGTGCGTGTTTGCATATTTTATTTCTGCTTTTTAGTATTTCTCCAGATTTTATCTTCTAACTTTACATCCATCGATCTTTTTTTTTTTTTCTTCCCAGGGCGTACTCTTTTCATGTAAGTGCAGATGGACAGATGCAACCTGTGCCCTTCCCTCCAGACGCACTGATAGGACCCGGCATCCCACGCCACGCTCGTCAAATCAACACGCTGAGCCACGGGGAAGTTGTATGTGCCGTCACTATCAGCAACCCCACACGCCACGTCTACACCGGTGGAAAGGGGTGTGTGAAGATCTGGGACATCAGTCAACCAGGCAGCAAGAGCCCCGTGTCCCAACTTGACTGCCTGGTAATTGGATGTTTTTACATCTTAAGAATGAGGAGAGTTAGCCCTATGCTGAATTTATTTCAATGTGTTCAGCCATGAAGGAATCCCAACGTGCTAATGAGGTCTCAGAGTAATACATTAGGAGTTTTATTAAGTATTAAATGTAGCCTGACTCCCCATCCCACTACAGCTGTCCACAGATCCCAACAGATAAAGATGTGAATAATTCAGTAAAATGTCTCACTGCTGTGCTGAAATTATCCTTGGTGGAGGAGGGAAAAAAAAACCCTGCTGAGTAATGACGTTCTGATTGGCCAACCCTGTCTGCCATTACGCAGCTCATTACTTTCTCCAAACTGCCTCCCGTTTCTCATTTCCACTCTGTGTCTTCATGCTGTTCGGCTCGTATGGCCTCCTACACCCTAAAGGTGTGTCCAGGGTGCCGTTTGGTTTTATAAAGCCATCAGGGGGCCATTTTAATTTGACCAATAGCTTCTACAATGCTGTTGATTTGTCTTTCTGCTCTCGTGGAGCTTGCAGCCCAAATGTCTTTTTGTCTCATTCAAGCCGACGTTTACATTTTCGCTAGTGTGAGTCAGCAGTTTCACCTGCTAAAGAAAATGTCAATGCAGAGAATTATCGGGTTTGTCTCGGTGGTTTAAGATGATTGACTTTGCTCATTTAATGCCTTTTACAAATTTATATTTAATATATTCTTTTTTTTTTTTCATTTCTCCAGAACAGAGATAATTACATCCGCTCCTGCAAGCTGTTGCCCGATGGCCGCACCTTAATCGTTGGTGGCGAGGCCAGCACGTTGACCATCTGGGACCTGGCCTCACAGACACCCCGCATAAAAGCTGAGCTCACTTCCTCTGCTCCGGCCTGTTACGCTCTGGCCATCAGCCCTGATGCCAAGGTCTGCTTCTCCTGCTGCTCTGATGGAAACATCGCCGTGTGGGACCTCCATAACCAGACTCTTGTCAGGTCTGTCCTTCACTCCAGTAGCTCTGTTTTGGACACAAACCTGAAGCAAAACCAAACATTGCACACTGTTTTATTGTAAAGGTGCCAGGAAATTTTCATCAAATGTTTTTACAACTGATAAATCTTTTTTTATTTATTTTTTTATTTTCAAAATTAATTAAACATTTTTTATGATTTATTAATATTCCACTCGTCTAGCTTTTATCCTTTATCCATTAATAATCAGTTCTTGCTTTCATGCAATGTCTGTATTTAACAGGGAAAAAAAGCCTTTACCTTCACTTAACATTTATTGACTGACTGAACTGAAAGTGTTTTGTCGAAAATGATACACTGAACAAAATCAAAATCTAGATAAGTAGTTTTTTTCTTAAAATAAGTGCATTTGTTCTTGGATTGAGGGGGTAAAAGAGACACTTTGCCAATGGAACAAGACAATTTAAACTTAAAATAAGAAAACACAATTGCGTTGTCTTATTTTAAGTGCATAATAATCTAATTATCTTATTTTAAGAGTAAAAATACTCATATTTTCATTGGCAAACCATCTCATTTACCTACTCAAATTAAGGGTAAATACACTTAATATAAGACATTTTTACTTATTTGTAGATCATTTTTCCAGTGTAGTTCTGCTGTCCCCCAGATGCCCTGATTTGTTTCCATTCTTTATTCCAGGCAGTTCCAGGGCCACACCGACGGAGCCAGCTGTATCGATATTTCTCATGACGGGACCAAGCTGTGGACCGGAGGGCTCGACAACACAGTCCGCTCCTGGGATTTGAGGGAGGGCCGGCAGCTTCAGCAACATGACTTTACCTCACAGGTAACACTAAATATAGAGCATTTGGAGCAGCTGTTGCTGTGGTGATGGTGATGCTCACTAGTTGTAAAACAAACTTGCTCTAAGGTTGGTTTGTTGTTTTAGATCTTCTCTCTGGGCTACTGTCCCACTGGGGAGTGGCTGGCTGTGGGAATGGAGAGCAGTAATGTGGAAGTACTTCACCACACCAAGCCAGACAAGTACCAGCTGCATCTACACGAAAGCTGTGTCCTTTCACTAAAGTTTGCCTACTGTGGTGAGTAACTTACAGAGGGCTTCCTTAAGCTCTGATCCATATTTGATTGATCCGAAGCAAACTGCTAGGCCTTCAAATAATTCACGGTTAAGAATTTAAGAAACTTTACACAGATCCTATACTGGTCTCTGTTTTTTTTAACCCTTGCCTTAAATGCAGAATTTAAAGTCATGAAATGATTTCTAATAATTAGTTGTTCATAATAGATCACCAATGAACAGGTAATCTGTTATGTTCACCAGTTTCTATATCACAAACGGCTTCAACTATAAGCAAGAAAGTTGTATATGTTTTGTCAGATTTCAGAGGGTAAATCTCATTTTTTAAAGATCCGTTACAGATAATGAAAAAAACAAAACAAATTCAGTATCTGAGGAAGTTTGAATATTTTCAAAATGTTTCAGCATATTCAGATATAGTTAAGTTTAAGCAAGGAAAAAAAACACTGCTTTTCAGGTAAATTTCTTTCACAATGGAGTGAACTGACGGGTACAAAGGCTGTGTTAGGGTCAGGTGTTGTGAAGATTCTCAGTCATGCAGGTCATGGTCAAGCTTGAGAAGTTCAGTTTAGGTGACTGGATGCAAAGTTTTCCGGAAGACGTCTCGCCTTTCATCCAAGAGGCTTCTTCAGTTCAGTTAGTTAGGAGTAAGGGTCACGATTAGGCTGTAGAACTCGCCTACAAATGAATGGAAGTCAATGGAAAGGGTGTGTTTGTGCACATCTAAAACTCTATAAGAGTTTATTCTTTCCAACCTACATTCACAAATACTAAAAGACCATTGTCAATAGTGTTTGCATAACAGTTTGCCTCTATTTTAACCTAAAAAGTTGGACTATCTGGAAAATAATTTTTTTTTAGTTTACTTTTGTACTTTTATATACTACCTAGAGTCAAAGTGGATGAATCTTTAATATTCAAACCAAAGCTACTCAAAGTGCATATTTGCTACCTTAGAATCTCATTTTTCACCATCTAATACCCTCCAAGTGCCTTCTGATAATTCAATGATCCAACCTGTCACGTGTTGCAGCATCATTGCGTCTCATTGCATTTACCTTTAAGCAGAATTAAAACGGACGCAAAAGATTTTGTAATTCTCTATTATCCTGAAGCTCTTAATCTCTTTATTTTACCCTTAATGAGCTGTAGATGCACCATTTTTCAGATACCAGTGGGCTGTTAGTGGTTTAAGTGCTCGTCACTCCCACTCATGTATGTAGGGCTATTGTTAAAAACAAATCTGATGATTGAGCAGCAAATTCAGCACTTTAGAAATGTTCTTTCATATTAATTCATTCCCAGAAATCAAGGAGCTGGTCCTCTTCTCCTTCACCGCAGAACTGATTCATTCAAATCAGTTCAGAGCTCTTGGTGTGGCTGATTAAATCAGCAGCCAGCCAGTGAGCTGGTTAATGAATCAGAGGGTTATTTGAATAATTAACCGGGTTAGAGCTGTGAGTCTCCTTCATTATGTTTTATGACTGTTGATGAGGTAATTCAAGGAGCAATGTTAGAACTGCTTACAGTTGCTTTGCTATGTGTGTGAGGACCCTTCAGTTAAAGGTGTCTCATCTTTGCCTGTAGGGAAATGGTTTGTGAGCACAGGGAAGGACAACCTGCTGAATGCATGGAGGACTCCTTATGGTGCCAGCATATTCCAGGTAATACAATACAAAGTGGGAAACCACATCATCAAACATATATGGGTTATTTCAAAATGAATTTAAAAATGGATTGTTTTTAATGATAATAACACTAATATCTGTATATAACTACATGAAAAATGTTAGATTATTTGCTTGTTTTAAGTCTGAAACAAACGGTACTAGAAGTATTTGAGACCAATGGTTGTGTTTGTCCCTCTTATTGACATGGTTAAAGGTAAAGTTTGTGTCAATAAAGGACGTTTTAAGGAAGTAGAATGGCTTAGAGGCTGTTTTTCTACTCAACTGGTTTGCTAAGTATTAGTTTAGCATTAGCATTAGCTGGCCTGACAACTGGCCACAGTGAGTTACATTTGCAGCCATCATTTTATTTTAATAAATTATAACAAAAACATAAAAGATGTTGTAACATAATTTAAAAAATGGCACTAACTTAGTTTATATTATCAGTATTTGAGACCAATGTGTTTGTCCCTCTTATTTACATGGTTAGAGGTAAAGTTTGTGTCAATAAACTAGCAATATGTGACATTTCAGTGACTGCTTGAAATGACCTTTAGGTTATAGTGATAATGTGTGAATTGACATAAATAAGACATTTAGTAGACGCGTAGAGATGATGGAGCACAGCTGCGCATCAGAATCTTAGTGAAAAGTCGCAGTTGTTTTGACTTACGCAGAACGATAGACTGCACTCATCTAACTAGAAAGGGAAAAAAGGCATGTTTTGACTGTTGATCATGTTTCCCTGCAGTCAAAGGAGTCGTCCTCCGTCCTGAGCTGTGACATTTCTGCTGATGACAAATACATCGTGACAGGATCCGGGGACAAGAAGGCCACAGTCTACGAGGTCATCTACTGAAGAGATGAAGTTCCCATTCTGCTTCAGCACTTCTACTGAGATTATTTTCCTGGTTTATAACACGGGCTACGACAGACTGAAGCAAGCTACATTTGTCCCAAACGGTTTTGGAAACCAGCTGCGCTGTTTGGCCTGTGGATATCTATACTGGAAGATTGTTTTTTTTTTTTTTTTTTTTTAAATCCCATGTTTTTAGGGTTGTGCATTTTTGCAAGATCTGAAGTTTGTCTCCAAGGATTTTTCAGATTTGACCAAGGTGGAGCAGAGCTTCATTTCCGACAAACTGATTCCTCAAACATGTACATTGTGTAAATATTGGATTAAATAAAAGACATTTTATATATTATAAAAGTATATATATTTTCATGTACTGGGTGAACTTGTGACCATTATTTTGGTCGCTCTCATCTGTATGAGCAAGCAGAACACAGACTGGAGCTTTTTAATTATTGCACCCTGACCGTTTCCTAAAAGCACACTGTAGGTGGATCTTTCCAGAAATCAAAACAGAAGAGCTTAAATCTCACAATGCTGAACATTACGTGGAGATTTAAAAAGAAAAGGCCTTACATCACATTGCTCTTAATGGACAAACTACGATCGGATTTCCGATTTGGGTGGAACCTCTACAGTACTGAGTGGAACGCTGATTCAGGAAAAAGAGCCGGATGTAAATTTAGTTTCTGTGTAAAAAGTGTACACGTGTCCCAATGTTCTGGTCTGTGTGTGCTTTCCCTGTTTGTGTTCGCCTGTGGCAGATGGAGGATGTTAAAGCTCAGTCTAACCCTTGGACCTCAGTTGGCAGCAGAAGCATTGCAACAGGCACAAACTGAATGACTCTGCGCTTTTTCTGACTCAATGTTATCCCCATTCTTTAGCTGCTCCACTGATTTCTATTGAAACTAAAACCCAGCAGTCCAGCCTGCTGCTGAAATCCCTGTGCCCTTTGTATCTTACCAATATTCCTGTTTGTTGGGCTGTGATGGAGAGGAAGGCAGATCGTACATGTTGGTCTGTCTTCACAGAAATGTTCAGTGCCTGTAAATGCTTTGGAGGATGAAGGGAAGCACACATGAAAACAGATACTGTAGTTGTCAAATGAAGCTGAGGGTAAATTCTTCTGGTTCGTTTTACTGTGCTTCTCATCCTGCCAGCATTTACAACTAAAGGGGCAAACCGCACCTCTGATTCACACCAAAGTATGTAGCAATTGCTGTCAGCACTGAAAACAAATGTACAGTTGTTAATGAATCAATAAAATGTTTTTTCTATAATGGTTGCTTTTGATTTTTCATCAGTTTAAGTTTGATTTCTTTAAGGAAACTAGCAGTTTAATGATAGATTTATATTTCTGCCCATTTGTTTGGAGGCCAATTAAAGTTAGGTTTGACTGTTCTTAAGTAAAAGGAAACAGTTTTCAATCCTATTTCTCACACTACTAGGCAGGATAATAAAATATCAGGCTGCTCAAATAGTACTATAGGCACCTCCGCCCCCAAACTACTGTATAAACTGTTGAGGTTTACCTGCCTGGGAATCACTGAGCTAATATTTAGTTACCGTAGGAAGCTTATCTAAAATTACCCCATTGTTCTCAAACCAATATGCTGCAAACTTAAGACTGTGTTTGGGGTTTCTGTCAGGTTAAAACATTATTTCAAGCCTCCATAGTACAGCAACGCAACCTAAGCTGCAAAAGAGTTCAAATATGGGAAGTAAATGTTCTTTATAAAAGTATTTTTACTTGGACAAAATGTATCTACCAATGGAATAAGATTTTTGCACTGAAGAAAAACTTTGATTTCAAGTGCATGGTATATATAAATATATTTTAACTATAAGGGCCTAAATAGTCGTTAGACTGGAAATAAAAACACTACTAACCTGTTTAAATGAAGGTCAATTTTTAAAACTTCTAGATATTTTTTTGCAGTTGGATATTTTAACTGGTTTGTGGAACAGACGTGTCAAGTAACGAAGTACAAATACTTATCTTCCTACTTCTGACTTCTACTAATTACATTTTCACGCAAGAATCTGTACTTTCTATTCCTTATATTTTTAAAACAAAGTTACTCGTTTCTCTTGGCTTTGGTTGAATGTTTATACATATTTATTTCTTGTCATGTGAGCCATCCAATGCAGATCATTGGCTCCATCCACATCTAGTGAAAACTAGTGTAATTGGATGAGTCATATAACGCAAACACTCATTGGTTAGCTAAAGGAAATCATCAGAAGCAAGCAGGTGTTCTTCAAACTGCTAACGTGAATTATCTATGCCATGCTGCAATGTTGGATTCAGAATAATATGTTGAAATGTCTGAAAGGTCGGACAGGCGGGAGCGTATCAGGAGATGGAGACCAACAAGACCTCCCTCATCCTTGGCCCTATCTCAAAGAATTTTTCAAAATAGTCGAAAAATTGAGCTTTTAATTCATATAGTGGCAGCTGGCTGTTTTATTAAATGTTTCTTTATACTTTTATACTTTCAGAAGTTTTTGGAGCACATTTTTTTTCACTTTTACTTGACTAAAGAGGTCAAGTTGAGTGTTTTTAAACTGCAGGATCTATACTTCTGCTTAAGTAACAAATGTGTGTTCTTTTGAAACCTCTGCTGTGGAATGTGATAAACAAGCCCAACATCCGTATGCAGTGATGGAGTCGAGGGGGGATGGCATCTCCCTTCTTAAAAAAAAAAACTCTTAAAAATCATCCACCTCCTTAAATGACCATCCTCCCATACCATCCCCTGTGACATTTTATTACTGAATGTGTAAAACTTCTACTATATATTAACAGTAATGGCAAAAATATTGCCCTTTCAGCATTTGGGGGGGCTGTGGGCTTACGAGCAGCCTGAGCAAAATAAATAAACTCAAAGGAGTGTCCTACCATGATTATGAAGCTGATCCCAGTGGGAAATTTGTCCCTAACTATTTAGGGGCAGTGATAGCCATGCCAGTCCAGGACTGACTGCAGTTCTACTGTAAGGAGCCTTGGTAAAGCTCAATGACCGACGTACATGACATGTAACAACCATACCATGCATAGTGCTTTAGATTAATAGACTATATAAATTATGTATGCTTCCAAAAAAATAATGAATAAATCCCCCATCTCCAATTATTTTTTCTATACAACTAGATTACTGCCCATATGTGCCTTATGGTATACTTTGTCTAATAAACTGACCTGAACAAATTAAAAATAATCTTCTTTACTTCACTCTGCTCCAAAAAATGTTGACATGTTTCTCTTTAGGCCAATCAGCATCATGTCAAGTTTACAGCTTTTTGTTGATAGCTTGACTTCAGTACTCAAATCACCTTTGATCACTATGCGTCCATCTATCCCACTGGTCTGCAACCTTAACAATCCAAAGAGCCATTTTTGATTTCAGTGCAACTAATAAAACTTGTTCAGGGCTGCAAGAAAATACTTACCTTTTTTTTTTTTTAAAAGAACTTATATTTAATAAACATCTACCATAGATGTTTCCTATAAAAAAAAACTACTATGTCATTTCAGTTTTAGGTTTTAAAATGAATGGTTTAATAGTTATAGTCAATTCATTTTGGAAATGTTTTACAATTAAATGAAATGATTCTAAAGAATTTTCTGGCTCTTTATTATTTTTAGCCAAACTGATGAAGACCTATTGTCCAGTGTCTAGAGAGCCACAGTTTGCAGATCACTGCTCTGTTCAATCAAATGAGGACATTTCTTTTTTTTTCCTCCAATCTTTCTTTGCTTTCTGTTGTAAAGCAGTTAGATCATTTTATTTGAGCTTTCTCTAACAGTTTTTCCTCTAAAACTTTTTCTTAAAGCATCCTGTTCTGAACAGCTGATACACTGCAATCATTTACTGCCTTGTCCTTTCATAATGCCCATTCGTTTCATTTAATCATTCAGCTACACAGAATCAGTTGCATGCATGTCATGACTGCAGGGTCTGTTGGGTTTCTATTACTCAACTACACCTACAAGTAGATTATTTTCAGTAAACAAACACGACTGCTGCCAAAAGAAAAAGACTGAATAATTTGATTTCTTATGTTGGACTGTGAGCTGCTCAGTGGAGCAGTGCAGCACGGCTGCCTTGCAGCAAGAAGGTTCTGGGTTTGATTCCCAGCCAAGGTTCTTTCTGCCTGGAGTTTGCATATTCTCCTTGAGCATGCGTGGGTTTTCTCCGGGTACTCCGGCTTCCTCCCACAGTCCAAAAACATGACTGTTAGGTTAATTGGCTTCTCTAAATTCTCTTTAGGTGTGTGTGAATGGTTGTTTGTCTTGTTTGTCTTTGTGTTGCCCTGCGAGGGACTGGTGACCTGTCCTCTCACCCACTGACAGCTGGAGATAGGCACCAGCACCCCTCATGACCCCACTTGGGATAAGCATGACGGAAATTGAATGTTGGACTGCTATTATCTTACACACAGCTGTCGAGACAAGTTTCAGTTTCTTTCAGATTTATTGCCAAGTAGGTTTGCACTTACAAGGAATTTGACTTGGTGTTGATGCTGCAGACAATATAGATACAGTGGGTAAGTATTCAGACCCTTTTACATTTTTCACTCCTTGTTTCATTGCAGCCAAAGTGTATTTTATTTCTCATTACGGTAATATAAAGTCAGTGCCCCATCTTTACATAAAAAAAGCAAAAATGTATACACTTTTGCTAATTCATTAAAAACGAAAACTGAAACATCACATCATATTTAGACCCTTTTGAGCTTGTACAGCCATGAGTCTTCTTGCAAGTGATACAACAAGTTTTTTTTTTCCCATCTGGATTTGGGAATCCTTTTTGGGAAGCCTCTGCCATTCTTCCTTGCAGATCCTCTCCAGCTCTGTCAGGTTGGATGGTGAGCGTTGCTGGACAGCCATTTTCAGGTCTCTCCAGATATCCTCTATTGGGTTTAGCTCAGGGCCCTGGTTGGGTCAGTCAAGAATGGTTACAGAGTTGTTCCCAAGCCACTCCTTTGTTATTTTAACTGTGTGTTTAGGTTCATTGTCTTATTGGAAGTTGAACCTTCGACCCAGTCTGAAATCCTAAGCCCTCTGGAAGAGGTTTACTTCCAGGATATTTCTGTATTTGGTTGCATTCATCTTTCCTTCAATTGCAACCAGTCGTCCTGTCCCTGCAGCTGAAAAACATCCCCATAGCATGATGCTGCCACCACCATGTTTCACTGTTGGGATTGTATTGGGCAGGTGATGAGCAGGGTGTGTAAAATCTTTGATTACTCTGTAAGTAGCAGACCATTTCAGTTTTGCAGAAAATGATTGTTGTTACATTTATTTTCTGAGACACCTAAAACCTGAAGTTCAAGGTAATGTATAGTAAAAAAAAAAGTATACATCGTCAGTGGAAGTAGTTTACCATATTCTATCATACATGCTCTATATACTTTAAGAAATATGGTAATTGTCAAAGTTAAAGTTCCTCTTCTCACTGAATTCTTTTTCCATTTATTTTTTTCACTTTTTATTCATAATTTTAGTATTTAAAATAAAAGAAACTTGCAAATAACTATATATTATGGTCTGTCCGATTTATGTCATTTTAATAATGAAACTCACTATTCCAGTAGCTTTCTTTGGAGTACTTTTTTACTCTTACACTCTAACTTTGCTCTAGTAGAAATACTATGTTGAAGTAGCGCTACTTTTACTTTATTACAATTTTTTTTTAGTACTCTACCTCTGAGAAAAACCAAGACTTTAAACTGGTTCAGTGAAATAAAGAACAAAATATTTTACTGTAGCAAGACTATTTTCTAAAATAGACATTGTGTTTCACAGTTTTTAGTATCTGTTTAAAAACATCTCCTCAACCATGACTGAAATGTTCTCATCATGATTCGGTGGGCTGAGAAGAAACAGCTGATATTTTGTAATGGAAACTCTCTTCAAGGTTGAAATAAACCACTTCAAGGGAATCTGTGTAAAACTGAACTCACCTGATTTATAGCAGTTCAGAGATTGAAATAAGAGATAAAGTATTCCTTCTCCTGTTTTTTTGAAGATTGATACAATAATATGGTAATTATTCTAAGACATTATTGTCGATCTGAATCTTTAAGGTGAGCTTTAAGTTTTAAGACGTATCTATTTCCATAGTGTTCACACACAAATCAAGTTTGTTTTTGTTTTCTCCTACAGCACAGCAAATAAGAAAGAAGAACAAACCCATAAAGCATTTTAACTAGTCTTCCTAAACCACTGCAGGCTTATGATTTAAAAAAAAAAAT